TAAAGAGAGTTCACAAAAAAATTAAAAATAGTGTTGCTATTTTTGGGAAATTTCAAAAAGTTCAATTGAAAAGAAAACAATAAATACATAGTGTTACCGGAATTAGATTCTGACAGTGATATTTTGGACGAATCTCGTAATTCCGGATCAAATTAATTATATTTCTATTTTTTATTTATTATTTATTTTTAATTTATTTTTATATTTATCATTTTCTATTTTTATTTTTCCATTTATTAGAACTATAAAAAAACTGACATTGAATCGTAAAAAAAACAATAAAACCGGCCTAACTGAAGAGTTTCACAGGAATGAACTGATTTCTTAAGAATTAAGAATAGGACATGGATAAGGATATGACAATGATATGACAATGACAGACAATGATAATGGAATTATCATTAGGATAAAATAATTTTTTGGGAACAAATTTTTTACTTTCGTTGGGTGTTTGATTTAAAAAAAGAATCAAAAACTCTGATTGAAATTCCTTTGATTCCTTGTATATCAAATCAAATTGAATAATATTATTGAAACTTTCAATTAAATAAATGCCTGTTACTTTTTTTTTAATGTATAGAGTTACAAATTTTTGTAGAATTTGTTTAGTTTAGAACTAAGAAAATTCAGGATTTAATTTATTTAATTCAATATTAATTATTTTATTGTTCTCATAATAATAAGAAATTTTATTTCTTGTAAACATGTTTTGTTAGTGGTTTTGTCCTTGAATTTTCTACAAATACTTTTCTTGATGATTTTGTTAATTTGACTTTTTGTAAATTTCTTGTAAATGTTTTTCCACAGAAATTTACGTTCTCTTGTAAATTTGCTATGAATTTTTTGTATTACAAAAAATTCATGGAAATTTCTTATAAACTTTTTCATATAGAATAAGATTCGTGTAAATTTTTAATAATTTTCCTGCGACTTTTCTGTAAACCTTTTTTCATAGGGCAACAACAAGGCTTATTACACCATTTTTTAAATTTTGAATTTTATACTGATGTATCACTTATAAATCTAGGTAAAGAAACAATAAAATGGGCATTGCTTATATTCAAACACATCCAGGCTTTCCCACATTAGAATTTGGAGTATCAGTAAAAAAAATGGCTTTCTGCAACATGTGCTGAAATTGCGGCTATAACAACTGCTTTATTAATTGCATCTAAAGACTCTAAAGTTACTATTTTCACAGATAGTAAATCAACAATAGATCAATTTAACGATCCAATTTTAGAGTTCAAGCAGATTGGAATACAAGTTATGTAATATAGTTATATAAATATCAAGAAATTTAAGTGAACAGGTTTGTTAACAATCACAGTTTTTTATCGTTATGCACAATAAAATAAATGTTACATTTTGGCAATTCATATTTCAAACATACTCTGCTAATAAATTAAACTATTTATGACATAATCTTTAAAATATAATTGAAGGCATGTTTGTGATGCATTTCGAGTGAATATTAAAAATATTAAATTGAATTTGTGCTTAAACTCAGTAGAATTATGCTCAAACGAAGCAAATTAACATCACAGGTTGAGATTCGACTTGGGTATTTATTACAATTAAAATTTTTTCGTTTTTGTTATTAGTCATTTTGTATCATCTTCTCTGATAAAAATTTCAATTATGTCATAGGAGCCACCATGCAATGAATATTTTTGATGGAATGAAATTCAAAAAAAAAATTATTCAATGTAGTGTGTATATATAATTAAACATATCAAATATATTTTATAGAAAAATCCTAGCAATAATTCAAGAAAATCCAGAAAACTTAGAAAATTATCCACAAGTACCATTAGTGATGATGAGCTAAATATGAAAGAAATAAAAAGACAAATATTATTGAAGTCTCAAGCATTGAAGATAATATTGATTCAAGTCAAATGAAAATTTTAAGTGGTCAAACAAATGATGATGATGATGATTCTCTGACATCCAATAGTTATTACCTTCACTGGCTTCTCAATGCAAATCAATATTAAACAATAAATCTGCAGAATTTCAATCAAATCATTTAAAAATCTCCATGAAATTGGTTCAAGTATGGTAAAAAAATTTTCATGCTTGCACTAAATAATAGTTTATATATTAAATACCACAGAATTTATACTCTTTAAACAATATTATAAACAAGCTAATACTATAAAGGAACTAAGAAAAAATTTTATTTTGTTTGCACAATAAACAACGATTTATTTTCTAATTAAAATCAAATAATATAATATTAAATTGTGTTTTTATCAATTCACTAATTTCTCACGATCTCTAAATTTTATTTTAAAAGGTTTGGGTCCCGACCAATTCTTTATTAGATTATCAAAAGAATTGATATTAATAATAGAAAACCTACAAGTAAATTTTATTGACTTTAATTTTTTTGGTAATGTTTGATTTAGCACTGAAAGTATTTTATCACCATTAAACATATTCACATGAAAATTTTTAAGTATAATACTTTCTAATTTAATACAATTGTTGAATACTTCTGTTAACTCCTGGTTTACTTCATCATTATAAAATATTGATAAACTTACTAGATTTTTACACCATTGTGCAATTGATTGAAATAGTTTTCCCAAAAATTCACTATTACACAGACTACTGCTAACATTCAGATATTTAAGAGTTTTTCCATTGATGCTAATAAATTCAGACAAATCTAATAAAGATAGTTGTTTGCATTGATATATTGCCACAGACTCGATATTTGGAAGTGAAATATTTTTCAACAATTTTATCCCATCAGCAGGAAAAGAATTAAATGTTAAAGTCTTTAAATTTTTAAGTGCTGGTAATAATATGCAATCCATATTAATATTATTGAATCCACTTGAATAATAAATTATTGATTGTGAATGTGAGAGAATTGCTTTTTTGAAATTATCTGGAAAAATTTGACCAGAGTATAAATGAATAGCTAATTGCTTTATTTGATTTTGTGCTTTAATTAGTTGAGTCAGGCTATCTAGAAGTTTATTGTCACATATATCAAACAATTCTAATGATTGAATACATTTGCAAATATTTGCTAATTTATCAATAAATTCATTATTAATAGGTTTATAACAAACTAATTTATTAAGATTTTGAAAACAATTATCAAATCTATGATGATTATTTAACTGATAAAAATTTATATTAGAAGCATTAAACTCTTTAATAGCTGCTAGATGATCTAAAATAAAACTTACTAGCCTATCTTGTAAAATATTTAATTTGCAAGAATTTGTCAGCAGTGATTGAAAATTAAAAATTTTAAAATAAAATCTAGTACAAAATCTAGCATAATTATATAATGGTGATTTATCCAATAGCTCAAAAGTCAATTCAATGCTATTCCTTGTTAAAAAATCTTTATCTTCTTTCAATAAACAATTAATTATTATTTTGATAGAATCATAAGAATAAAATGGATTTCTCCATAAAATCGGAATATTAATATAGTGCCATTGTTTATTGACAAGAATGCAAGAATATAATGTTTCATAATCATCATCATTGTATTTAAATACTTCAGGTAAAAGCTCAAGTGGTAAAATCATTTTTTTTTCGTAGAAAGAAAATTTTATTTGTTGCACAATAAAAATGATTTTTTTCCCAACAAATTAAAATCAAATAATATATTAAATGGGAATTGACCTATAAGAAATCATTATTTCTTGGTAATGTTTGACCTAGTATTGAAAGTATTTTATCACAATCAAATATATCCATAAAATCAATTACAATTATTGAATACTTCTGTTAGCTCCCGGTTTACTTTATCATTATAAAAATAAGTTTACCAGGTTTTACACTATTGCGCAATTGATTGAAGTAGCTTTCCCAACAATTCTCTATTGGATATTTAAGAGTTTTTCCATTGATGTTAATAAAATTATAAATTCTGATAGAAATGGTTAATCATAAGTATGTAACCTCACAGATTCAATATTTGGCAATGAGATAATTTCCAACTATTTTATTCTGTACAAGTAGCAGTAGGTAATGTTAATAATAAAGTCTCTAGATTCTTTAAGCACTGGTAATAATTAAGGCTCTGAATGAATCAATAAAATTTGATCGATTTAATTCAAATCAAACACGAATCAAGTACAAATTGTGCTTTGACTTGATTTAGACCGGTTTTGAATCTATAAATGATTTGATTTGAATCTAATTCAAATATATACACATATGAAATAATTTGAATTCTGCATAATTTTAAAAAGAGTTGCCTTTGGAAATAAATGGTTTTGAAAGCCAAAAAAAATTATCTGCCTAATACAATAATTGCATTTGGTTTTTTCCATCTACAACTGTGAAATGGTTCCACACTTCACTTCTTGTTCTTCTTTGAACACAGTATTGCACCGTGCCTGTTTAAGAAGTAGTTGAAGAGGCATTTTCAACAATGCATTTATCATCATTCATCATTGTTACAATTTCACTGTATCTTCGTTACATACTATGTATGACTGTATTTCGTACAATTCGTACAGATTCGTTGTGGTCGTACACCTGTACGAATGTATGAACAATGATTTCTACAAATATTTATTTTGTAAATAATAACAATAATATTACTATTACCATAATTACGAGATTACCAGGTCGTAATACTACTTCATTATTAGAAAAAACCTGATTATTAATGTTATATTTACTTAAACCCCTTTTATTTGACTATTCTTGGCACATTATTTATGATTTCTAATTTTTTTCCTATTATTAATTAAAAAAAATTCCCTTTTTTAATTATATTATCAATTCAAATAATTAATAGTAATATTAAATCTTCATACAATAGTTAATTCCATAAACATTGTCACAGTGGACTATAATCAAATTCTTATGGTAATGATTTTAAATGAAGTTTTCTTATGTATCCCCTTCATCCTGTACATCTTTTTTTTTTTTTGACATTTGATCAACCAATAAAAATTGTATAAATCACATGATATGCGTACGTATACCAGGGACGATGATTTTGCATAATAAATAGCCACAGAAATCACGGAATGTGTATTTAAAAACAGGAAATACTATAATAATGTACTGCAGATAATATAAAAAAAGGGAAGTTAAATAAGTGTATATAACATGATAATCGAGGAGTTTTTTAGTATTACGACCTTAATTATTATTAGTAATAGTAATAGGGTTAATATTAACGTTAAGAAAATTTTGCGTAACTATTATTATTATTATTATTATAGGATTTGGCTAGTTTGTCTTCAAATGAACAGCCACAACCCATTAAAAAAAAACAAAAACTAAGCAGACAAAAGCATAGTTAGACATGGACTTACTCCTCAAAAGTGATAAAAACGATCAAGTATAACTAGTACCAGATTCGTTTAAAACTGGAAATTTTTTTATTCGTAAAGAATGTGGTGCCATTTTTTTTTGCTGACGATAAATTACAATCATCATTCTTCAAATCAAATAAAAAAAATATTTTATTTTAAATTCTTTTAACAAATGTTTTTAATAAATATATATACTTTATGTTAATATCATATTAAACTATTTGTAATATTTTTTTAAAATTATAATAATGCAGATATTATGACGGGGAATTATGCAGAATAGTAATAGCGTATTTTTTGATGCATAGTATGCATGCGGAATTTTTGTTTTTAGCATGGCACTTCATCACCGCAGAAAATCATTGTTCCTGGTACATACATGTACGATATGTGCGAATACGATATCCCAACCCTGATTAGAACAATGTGATCTTCTGACATTTTGACCCCTGTGACTTTGTTTGACAAGCATTTGCAAAAAAGTTATCACGTGAATGTAGTTTTGTCCAATGAAATTTAAAGAAAAATTTGGCAACGATTGTTGTTATTTTTGAAGAGTAGAACCCATCATTTTTGGTAAATATTAAATAAAACCTCAGCCCATTAAACAATCGGGAGTAATTTAAATTAACATTAAAATTAACATTAATATTACAGTAAATAATATTAAGTCAAGTTAATACTCTATATTAATTAATATACACTTAAAACTGCTGCACTAAATTAATTCTGTACTTTTCTTTCGTCAATTAATATATATGTGTTCGGCTTTGAAACAAAAAAAAAAAAATACAATCTAAACTTGACAAGAACAAATATGATTGCACCATTAACTCAAAATATTCCATGTCTTGTGATTTACAATGGTTTGTGCCCTTTACCAATGCAATGTATTTTCCAGAATCCTATAAAAGCTCTTATGCAACTGTTCATTCGGCACAACAAGAATCCATTTCAATACTTGATAGTTATTGCAAACTGTAATCAAAAAGCCCAAGCTATGATTAACTTGAGGACCTTCAAGTATATAGTGCAGTTCCAATAAATATCATAAATACATGTATGATGCTATCAAGAATTATTATTTGAAAAGTGACATATATATTAATCAATATATAAAATAGAGATCAATTCTTGTAAACTTTTTTTTACAATTTATATTTTAATAAATTTTTTGCAGCTGTTAACTATTTATGAAGATTCCAACCATCCGAAACCCAGATCTTGTGAATTTGACGACTCAATCAAATAATTATAATTACCACTGTTACTCTTGCTACAGAAACAATAAATCTTAAAGGACAAGCTGAATTACTGAAGAATTTTAAATTGTAATTATGATTATAATTATATAAAAAATAATTTAATTCGTGTAAATTAATTATTTTCTCGGTCAACTAATATGAAGACCAAGAAGGAAATTAGCACAAAGGTAATAATTTTTAGTAGAAATAGTAATTATTAAGATTTCTAATTCTAGTTAATTAATTTGATGTTTAATTTTAATGATAATGATAATAATCTTTTGAACAAAAATTCTAAATTTCATTGTAGATTATCGAGTTATCAAGAGTATCACAAATAAAATTAATAAAA